ACAGCCGTATGCAACATCCTCTTTTAACTTTAAAAGCGACTTTGAAAGTCAATTGTTTAAGAATATAAATTTTCAAAAGTGACAAAATAGGCTAAAAGCGCTTTTAAAATTAAAAGATGATGTTGCAAACGGCTATAAGTCTTTAGTGTAAAAGCAAATTAATCAGCTTATAGGAACCAAATTAAAAATATAAATTTTCTTGTATAAAAATAAAAAACACAATTCCAAAACTCCGTAACACCCTATGTTATTGTAGGGTTTTTTTTACAAAAAAAAACAGATGAAATGTTCGTTTCTACTGGAAATTTCAATTTCTCTCCCATAAAGAAACAAATATCACAAATATCACTCACAAAACCCAATAATTTATTATTGCCAGTTAGCACTGCGTGGCACTACGAGTACGTGTGTGAGAGTACGAAATAATAAACAAAGACAACTTAGACAAGTTTTTTCTGTGGACCGGGTGCGGCGTGCACTACACATAAACAGGAGAGACGTTCTTCCTTCCACAAAACACCACACACTAAAATATTTTCAAATGAAAAATAACTCAAATAGCCAAAACCTTTAAAAAAACTTATAGGTATTTGTTTGATTTACTCCTTATTTTATAGATTTAGCCAAATAATGGCTCGATTCTATAGAAGAGTTTTATTAATTTAGTCAAATATTTGATAGTCGTAGCAAAAATTGGATAGAAATAGTTATATATTTGATTGTTTTCAGTTTACTGTTTTTTTTTTCTGTTTTCTAAATTTCAGTAAATTGTATGAATAACTTAATCCAGACAGGAATAGATTAATTTAAAATATCATAGATATTAAGCATTTATTTTATTGATCCCATCAAAACCATAGATCAAAAGTAAATTAATGCCTCTATTATTCTGTGTTAAGACCTAAAATATTTTTAATCAATGTACCTAGTAGTTCATTCCTAATTGATTTGATTTGGAAATGTATAGATCTGTGAAATATGTAAGAAATTATTTCACTATGATGCTTGTTGAGATAACTCTGATGGAACTTATTCTACCAGACACTAGGAATCTCAATTTCTCAACTTGATCTTGTTGATAAATCAGATATTATTCTTTAGTTAAACTATTATCAAGTACAGCTAAAATAATATAATCTTAGAGTTAATTTGAGCAAATTTCTTGCGAAAATTAATCATGGGAGGTACATCAATTCGATCTTTAATGTTTGATTGATTTAAGAAAAGCGTTTTCTGTAATCAATCTAAATTTTGATGTCTCAAGAAAAAAAATGATGGGATTTAGCAGTTTAAACATAAAAACAAGAAAATTGTATCTATTGATATTAATTTCAATTTGATGTTATTAATCGTAAGCGAAATTAGCAGATTAATCTTAAAACACTAATATTTATCAATTTTTTTCTTGTTTTATTCCATTTTAGATTGAACTAATTTATTTGGCATAGATTATGGTATTTCTCATTTCAATAAGTCGATTTGATTCATTTTATCAAAGCATTTCTTTCTGTGGATAAAACATTTCAGTTCCAAACCTCATCACGTTCTAGACATCAGACGACGTCTAATGTCTAATATGTAATACTTAAAAAGAGCTGTATTATGAACACAAAGAAACGATTTAAAGTTACGTATTTAAAAAAATTAAGCACAAGTTTGGGTTAATGCCGAATTGACATTTACTAGTTAACTTATTTTTGTATTTTATCGATTTATTACATTCTCACATTGTCTTGCCGGAAACCGCGGTCTAATTCCTATATACCAATTACCAAAAAAGCTATCTTTTACTTCCATTGTCAGCGGCCCTCATTGAAACGCGATAGCATCCAATATACAATAGATTACCTTGGGGTGGGCAGGATACCTCTTATTGCAGAATAACCGACACTATAGTGAGGGGTGTGTTTGTCTACCTTTAAATTCATTGAATAAACCCGTCTAGTAAAGGGCTGAATCCTTTTCATTCATGTTTTATAAGGTGGTAAGGTGATACCAGAAAGGGCTTGCGAAAGTACGCAAGGCACCCTTGGGAAGATAAATCATTCTTTTTGGCAAGGTTGAATGCCGACGTACCGACGATTTTTTTTTCAAGTTAAATAAAGGATCGGTGTTTTTGAAAATTGAAACCAACAAACCTGTAGTATATGTAAACTGATAGGCACTTATTGCCGACTCTAACAAAAAATAGTTGAAAAATATTCTAGGTGCAACACTTTTGTACTATAAAAACTGTCACAAAGTTTTGTTACATCTTTTTCAGTTATAACCCCATAATGCCATATAAATTACTATGCAAAGTCTCGTGTTTAACCCTAGGCCCAGTTTAAGATTTTCCCGTATTTACCAACTGTCTGGCGGTGGTTGTTGGCTCGCGATAATGGACCTCATAACAATCCACATATCATCTGGTCGTTCTCGTTCTCAATCTCCCTATACATGCTGTCGCATTGTCCATATGGCAGCCGATAAATTTCAGTTTTGCCTATGGTTATGCTTTCTAATCCAACGGCCAATTTGCTTGAATTTTGGGATTTTTTGTTTGGACCATATTGTATAAATATGGTTGGAGCTAATCATTTGGCAATTTGCCGACCAACGAATAAAATGGCAGGTATATTTTGCATCTAGGGAATGAAGTGTATAGTCCGACAAATACCATTTTAAAGTCACGTGATTTTGGTGGCAAAAAACGTATGTCCATTGATTATGTCGTTGATATCACCTACAAAAAGCTACTGGTGGTTAATTACTATTGAATTTTAAGATATGTTCCCACTAGCATTTTACAAACGCGTTTCTGAAGTAATATTAACCAATCAGATGGGAATTTGAATACTTGCAATTGTTGCGAGACTCACTTTTGATGCATCTGCTGCCCGTTGTAATTCATTCTGAACTTGAATTAGGTGCTCGTTTTCTATTTGCTTCTTTTCGAGATGGAAAAAGGTTAATATAGTCGAAATTATTAGCTGTGTTTGTTCATTGTATCATTTTCGAAAATAACTTTGACAAACTAATTGATGACAGCGACGGATTCTATTTCAGGTAAGAATTTTATGAACAATAATTAGACACCAATTTTTTTGTCAATTCTACTATCACCGCTGTTTGAGATGTATTCAACAAGGATAGAAAAAAATCACGTGACGGTATTTGTTAGACTATACCTACCTTCAATCTTAAATTGAATATATTTTACAATGTGAAATAGGATGAGAGGTTGAAGTCGTTGAAGATGTCAGAAAAGACAAAAAATTGATCGTTGATGGTCATTTTTTTTCTTATCTTGCGATTTTGCATGGGAAACTCTGATCAGAATTTGGCAGGTGCTTACTGGGATCCTAAAACAGACTTGTTCAAATTGGTGTCTAGGGATTATGCCCTAGTACTAACCTGTGGATCTAAGTATATTGTTAGATTTTCTAGTTCAAAATCTCATTATCAACACCGTACCGACTTGAACATCAATTTAGAGGAGTATGCTGTATAACCTTAGTGAATGATTGACCTGTTAAACTGGTCATGTTTTTTTTGGGATCCTACTTGCACTGAAGAGGTACAAGAACAAGGAAGCACGTCTGTAGTTGGATCCACAGAAAAATGAATACTGGTTTGCTAAGATTTGACTCCCACATTTACTGTTCAGTTGTAATAAATTGAAACATAAATAAATGTATATCTTGCTCAAATTTTCGTGACACTAAATATGCTCGAAAATATTAGTCTCATAGTAACCCCTCCTGATCTATCCCAGCGATAAGACTAATTAAACCTAAAAAATGTCTAATATACTTAAATTTTAATGACCGAGTCATTTAGTTTTGAATAACTTAATTTCGGGTTATTTTAAAACAACTACGCTTTTAATTTAAATGTCCTTTTACTTTGTTCGCATGTAATTATTCAACACTATAACTATCACAGCAATTTGTCTCAGTCCACATAGACCAAAGATGTGATACAAGATAAGATTGCGTTGTCGGCTTTAACTTTTTTTTTGCCTTGAAGTGGCTTACAGCGAGTCAAAAAATAAACCTATGTTTGTAACAAAAGGACGATAGTTATGACATTTTGATTTTAGAAATTATGCTTTAATAAATTGTTCTGAATCTCTGTATTTTCTTTCTTAGGAAAAATCATCATCAAAAACAAAGAATAATTAAAATTTCAAATACTACATAATGAAAACAAAGGGATAAAATTAAATCTTCTAGAATCTTTAGAAACAAACAAACTTAAAACTTTAGACTGTTTATTGAACGACCATTAGATTTAAACAATTCACCACTTTTAAATTTATTTACTGTGTAATACCTATTTAAATTAACATAAAATTAGACCAGCTTTTACCTTTTTTATATTTGTCAATTTCACTTTTATGTCTACATTTTATTTTTCTAAAATCTTTCTGATGAAGCTAAAGTTTAGCGAAACATGTTAAAAGTTTAACAAAAAAAAAAAAAAAAAAAATTGTGGAAATATATAAGTATTAAAATTTACTTAAAAAATCTTTTATTATAGTTATTTATGTATCAAGGGAATTATGCAGGTGTTAATACCCCAGGGCAACGTTTGTGTCCCGAGGGCCTCCGGCCCGAGGGACACCAATTGCCCGTGTATTAACTCCTGATAATTCCCGTGGTACATAGATAATTTTATATCCTACTGAATTTACTGTATTCTGTCTATTTTTATAAAGGAATAAGCCATAAATCAAAATCTCTATTTTTTGTCAAAGTGTTACCTATTCAAGGTAAAAGCGGGAGTTATGGAAATCCTTAACTCCCTTGGGAGTTATGATATCCTTAACTCCCTTCCTTAACTCCCTTGGGAGTTATGAAAATCCTTAACTCCCTTGGGAGTTAAGGCCCTGTTTATGATTATCGTAACCAAGGTATTATATGGTTTTAATAGTTCAGTAGGATATAAAATAATTAAAATCGTATTTTATTTCACAATTATTTCCACCACTGACTAATTGAATAATATTTCAATAATTATTTGTTATACTTCGCTCTTAAGCCTTCTAAAGTAGTATCAATCCAGTTACTGTAGTAGGGCACATTGACATAAACTCCAAAGACACCTGGTTGTCCACAGTTCTTACCCCATATCACTAAACCTGCCACGTTTAATTTGCCAGTTGAATCTGGACACACCAAGGGTGACCCTCCATCTTGCTAAAAGAAAACAATTTATTTGAAAATATAAACTGCAAAATGACTTACAGTACAAGCATCTCTTGATGCCTCGCCACCAGCACATATTTCTCCAACTTGATCCAAATACATATCCACGTAACCCCCCAGAAGGCTGGGCCTGGCGAATGATTCTCTACAAGTTTGTGGATCAACCACAGAAACTGATACTTGTTTCTGTGGGTTTGTGGGAGCATCTAAAGTGGTAAAGGAGGATTGTCCCCAGCCTGAAACCATACATCTACCAAAAGAAGATCAAGCAGAGTTCAATGAGTTTTACTTACTTGGTTCCTATAAAACTAGATTCAAACTCCGGTACACAAATTGTATTGATATTATTCTGGATACCAAAAATTATAGGGTACTCGAGCCTTAAGATGGCTATATCGTTCAGTAGTGATTCCTTATTGTAAGAAGGATGTACTAAAATTTCTTTTACCGGAGAGCTTTGTGTGTTTTCTAAATCTGTAGGATCCCACACACCCATATAAACGATTACTTCTTCTGGAGTTCCCCTAAAATAATTCTAATTGATTTGGAAGAAACGTTTAATATTTAATGGTCTTATTACTGGTTGCTTTCGACCTTATGGGCAGCAGTAAGCACATGAAATGGGTCCAAGAGGGCTCCACTACCAGCAAAAGCATGTGTAAGATTTTTGATGAATGCTTGCCAAGGGTGCGCACCATCAACAGCATTACCATCATTTGAAGTGTTTCCTTCCACAAATATTTCTCCACATTGGGTTTCGATGCCATAACATGGAAAGAATCCATTTGGACATAGTTCATTCTACAAAAAATAATTTCAATAATTTCCCACTTTACAAAAAGTTATTATTTGTTTTGTCTTTTTATTTGTCCTACAATGTTTGCCAATTTTTTCTTCATTTTAATTTCCATTTTAGTAATCTTTTGGCTTACTGGAATGACTATTCTTGGATGTATCATGTTTTGGCCTCCGAATCCAACCGTTGGGCAGGGTGTTCCGTTCGGAAGGCATATAAAGGTGTCGCCAGTTGATGTGACTCCAGTAGTTATCCCTAGAGCACAGTCTAAAATAAAATATTACTGATTTTTTATGCAGGCTTTGATTGTTCTTCTGGAAAAATAGAAGGACGCTTTGTTGAAAAGAAGGTTAGGGTATTGCTGAGTAATTCGGATAAAGAAAATGACCTTTTTGGGCATTTCATCTGCTTACCCTGCATCTACTTTTGAATGTTTTCAACTTACCAAATACTAAAGCACACAAAAAAATACCAAATAATATTATCGAACACATTTTTTTCCGTATAACTTGCTACTTTCAACTAACCAGAATCAATTTTAAATGACATAAATTTTGATTGGTTCCAAGAGCAAATCTTCCGTGTCAATTTTCTGCATGCAAATTTTAGATTGTTCGACATTGGTTCTAATAACTTTAATAGTCTTTTATTTTCATGTGGTATTGTTTGAGTTTTTAATGGGCCACATTTTGTAATTTGTTGAAGAGCTCTTTATGCACGTACATTATTTTATTTCGGTCATTGTCGGTGATAATTTTTTAAATAATTATATTCAACTGCAACCTATATTTTTCGTTTTAGTTAATTTATTCTGGTTTGAAACATGTTTTTCCACTTCATCTTTGTATTTCTAGAGATTTCAGGATTGGTAGCTCTCCAAATTCATTGCAACTTCTGCAGAAGATTCAAATTAATTGGCATGTTCATATGGCATTAGGTCGGTTCCAAAGCTTTTTAGGTAGCAGACTTTCGGTTCACAAAGTTCGGGGCGACAAGGCCGTCTCGCGGGGATAGTCCGCTACACGATTAGGGCGGCCCGTGAAAATATTTACAATCGTCGGGCCGCCCTAATCAAACCCGCTGATTAATGATCCTCGATTATGTTTCATTGATTTTGGTCGCCCAAGCAACGAACGAATAGTTTCTTCGTATATAATGTATGTTATTATATTGAAACTGAAATGTCTGATAAATCAGCTTATATGGGACCGGCGGATTTGAAGCACTACTCTCCATAAATACGTACTTTTGGAAAGTTTTGAAAGTGTTATAACATAAAACATTAATTGCGTAGGTACTTTTTTTTGTCTATATCAAAACTGTAACGGAATATTATCCATTACCTACTAAAAACCACATAAAGATTCACTGATCCTCAAATCGGTAAATCAATTCTCCAATTTGGTGCCGGACCCTGAAAAAAAAAAAACTATTTCGGCCAGTCATTTCCGAAATGCCGCATCTCGAACCGTCCAAGTGAAAAAAATCTGTTAAAGCGTTAGAAACATTTTCAAATATGAAACTAATTCAATCATTCATCAATTCAACACCGGCGGGTAAAAAACCGGCCTAACTCCTATTGTGTTTAAATTTGATTAGCGAGCGGAGAGAAGGAGCAAATTGTTCGGTCAGTGACGTTCCTGAGAAAATTTGTATTCTATCACGTGAATCTATTTTTCTTTATTACGTATTTTTTCAAATAGGTGCGTCTAGTTTTTGTTTTATTTAAGAAAAACACGCACAAATAATGAACTACATAAATCTATTTCCACATCATGGCACACAGTGCTTCAGTAAATATCTCGGTAGATATTGTCGCTATACCTCATGATGGTGAAGTCTCCAATAAATAGTGAACTGAAAGGGAGAAGCTTTCTCTACTACCTTCACCCTGACACTACCTACACGACGCTCCATGGATTTTAGCAGGTACCGAGAAGTCTTATGATTAACATGTTAAGCGCCATGGCGGTCAGTGGTGACCGATCGGTGTAGTTCCTGGTAGGCCACGGTGGTCACCAATGGCCGACTATCGCTGCCAGATTTTCAAAGTTCTCTAGGCCAGATGCCCGATAGTATGTTAAATTATATAGAACAGCCTGCCCGCTGTGGCCCATACGGAACTTCTTCATAAGTCAGGCTGGTTTTGAATCGGAGTCTTCTTGAACTCTGTTCCAACCGACATGAAAACCATTCTAGAACAGTAATTTCCAGTCGATCAATTCATTTGTCAAGTAGGATAAACATTCAACTTCTCGAGAAATAAGTGGGCAACTAGAAATTACTGGTTCTGGAACGGTTGTCGTGTTGGTTGGAACAGGGCTTGGGTGTTGCTCACTCGGTATAAACTGATTTACCATTCGAATAATACATTTGGTACGTTCACTCGCATATTTTTCAGGCATTGTGATAGAGCCACAAATCCTAATAAAAATACATGTTTTGCCTGAGAATGAACAAGCTGTCAGTTGAACTAAATAGGCGGGAACTTGCGACCTAGCGCCATGCCACAAACACCTGCACAAACATGACCGATATCGTGACCGATGACTAGAATTGCAATGAATGAATGAATCTTCCTACGGCGGTCACTAGTGACCGCCTTAAATTTTTCTCCAAAAATATGCTAAATAATAAAAAAAAACATATAAATATAGTTACTTGTACAAAATATAAGCGGAATAAAGTAAAAAAACAAAATTGGAAATAATAACCACTTGGACAAGTTTAGCGATTTTGCTGTGGCCCTAACGTTTAAGCATTTTGAAAACTTTGAAAATTCATAATTTTTTTTCTATTATAGATAGGATGCTAAAATTTTCAGCGGTTCTTATCCTATTACATGACTACAATCTCTGAAAATTTCAGCTCATTTGGGTTTATACTTTCAAAAATAAAATCGCGTTAAGCAATTTAGGGTAGATTTATCAATTTTTCTGCGTGCCTTTTACATAGATTTCGGCTTCAAATCCCAGAATAATTTAGCGCATAAAGTTTAGGGGGTCCCGAATGATCCTTTGAAAACAAATTTGAAGTTTCATCATTTAGTACCTACTGTAGCTCCCTTATGATTTGGATTTTTAAAGACTTTGAAAAATCATAACTTTTTTCTATTACAGATAGAAAGCTGAAATTTTCAGCGATTCTTATTCTAGTAGATGACTACAATCTCTGGAAATTTCAGCTCATTTGGACGTATTAGTTTCTATTAGTTTCAGAAATAAAATCGCGTTAAGCAATTTAGGGTGAATTTATCAATTTTTCAATTTTTCTGAGTGCCTTTTTCATAAATTTCGGCTTCAAATCTCAGAATAATTAAGTGTATGGAGTTTGGGGGGTCCCAAATGATCATTTAGACACAAAATCTCAACATAAAAAAAATTCAAATTTCATCATTTTAGTACTAACCCTTATGATTTGGAGTTTTTAAAACTTTGAAAAATCATAACTTTTTTTTTATTACAGTGTCACGGCTCTAGCTTGCGTGACAGAAATCTTGGGTTTATTCCACGTTACAACACACTCTGACACTAATTACTTCACTAATTAACTTAAACAACTTAACTCTCTACAACTTTACAATATTCACTATCTAAATCATATCACAGCCAATCAAACTTAAAAACTACTAACTAATACCCTCCTTTATATATCCGTAATCCATTCTTATAAAATCCAGAATACACGCGATTATCTCTTTGCCCGAATAAGGCAGTCTTTTCTGGAATTTTAGGCATGGATTCGGTATACGCTGGCGAAAACGCACCGTAAAATTGGCCTCCTCTCAAGGTTGATCATCCGGATCAACTTCACGCCCATGATATTTCGTCAATCTGTCCGGATGTACAACTTTCATCTTACTCCTGGTGTTGCGCTGAACTCGATAAACAAAATCATTAGGTAATCCTCTTGATTATTCGGTAGGGTCGGTCCCATGCTGAAGACAATTTTGGCGACACTCCTTTTTTTTGTTGTTGGATGACACAGCCACACTAAATGACCTTCTTGAATCCGTTGAATCGGCTTTCAAGTCGTATCTGGTCTTCATTCGGTCACTGGCCCGCTGAATATGCTCCCGAGCTAAATCATGTGTCCCAAGAAGTCGTGCCCTTACTTCGTCGGCATAATCTCGAATTTCTTTTAGTTCTTCAGGTATTCCAAACATCAGATCGCAAGGTAACCTGAGTTTCCTTCCATAAACGATTCTAGCTGGACTTTCACCTGTTGACTCGTGAACACCTGCTCTGTAAGCCATTAAAAATAGAGGCAAATGTTTTTCCCAATCTTGCTGGTTCTTTGCGACCACTTTTGTCGGTTCTTCCTCTATGGTCTTATTAAAGCGTTCTACCGTGCCATCAGACTGTGTATGTAAAGGTGTTGCCCTTGTCTTACGAGTGCCCATGATCTCGCAAATTTTCCTAAAGATGGCAGATTCCAAGTTTCGTCCTTGATCTCAATGCGACTCTAATGGCACACCATGACGACTGAAAACTTCGTCCACTAGCACCTGGGCAATGAATGATGATTCTTGATTGGGAATAGCGAAAACTTCTGGCTATTTACTGAAGTGATCCATGATAACTAAGATGTATTTGTTACCACGATCTGACTCAGGGAACAGTCCGGCTACATCTATCGCTATTCTTCCAAATGGGACACCGACGTTGTACTGTTTCATGGGCCCCCGAGATCTTAGTTTAGGGCCTCTACTGGTAGCACAGATGTCGCATTTCCGGCACCAGTCTTGGTCTCGAAAAATAAATGCTTTCTTGGTCTTGGTCTTGATGTTTCAAGACCAAGGTAAAGACTGGCTCAGTCTTGGTCTTGATACTCTTGAAAAAAATGTGTAGGTACCAAATTTTTAAAATATACATAACATATAATAGTACGGCACGCTTTAAAGTGCAAGCGATTTAAAACTTCGCTGCCACAAATTCTCAAATATAAACAGTGAAACAGTGCAAAACAATTGAAATCGTAAAATTTGAAATTTGGCAGATATAGGTATTGATCATCTAAGAACACGTACGTACAAATAAAACTTAACTAGAACATAGGAGAATAGATATTAGATGTTTCAATTAAACTAATCAAACTGGATCGGAATGCGAGAATTAATATCCTTATCACTAGTTTTTTTTTTTTTTTGTTGCTGTTGGAACCTAAATTCGAGCAGTACCCACTGAATGAGGATTACCATACACGTACTGATTTATTTACTAGTAATGGGTGAAGTATCAAATTCCGACTTGCACGACCTAATTTTGCAGTCCATCAAAGAACTTAATGGGCACATTTGTCAAAATCAAATAGATCTAAAAAACGAAATCCAAATTATTAAAAAGGATATCTCGGATCAACTTGCTTCTTTAAAAAAGGAAAACCAAGATCTCGAATTAGAGAATAAACAGCTTAAGGAACAGTTAGAGAAGGTGGAAAAAACTACGAAAAAATACAATCTTGTTTTTTATGATGTCAAAGAAAAAGAGGATAAATTGGAAGATTTAGAAAACTCTATACAGA